GGGCATGTTAGCTGATGCAGCCTGGGTCAGCTCCCTCAGGTTCGCCGCAGATGTCGCACCTTCGGGCGCAGACGTTGCCGTCGCATCCTTAGGCGCAGCCTTCTTTGGCTTGCCTGTACTAGGGGCCGTCCCAGATGCAGCAGTGTGCATACCCTTTGTCAGGGTTAAGGTGGACGTAGACGCAGAGGGAACGAACGGAGACGCAGCCCGGTTTGGCGCATCTCTGGCCGTCTTCCTCTTTGCCTGGTCCAAGGACGCTGCCTGGTTTGGCGCATCCTTTGAGTTTGTAGGCCTCGGGGCATCTCGAAATGTCACCTCTGGCGGTGTTCGCCTTGGTGCATCTCGAGACGCAACCCTTGCCATGTTGGGGTTTGGCGCATCAGATGACGCTGCCTGTGTTGGTTGACTAGTTTTTTCTTTATTGGCCTCTTTATCCATGAGGTGTTTGTAAATGCTTCACCGTTAGAGCTCTCCACCCGCCACGGAGTCCTCAAGTCGGGGACGTCATCTGTTCAACAGATGATCGCCAGAGCTACTCCTCCGGTATAGAGCCAGTGTAAAGGAAGAATGACGAATCCGCACGCAGCAAAGGAACTCGGGGCTGCACGCATCATGAGACAATGACGCATGCTCACCCTGGGCCCCGTACCGCGCCGACTGCCCCCCCCCCTAGACACCGACTCTCGCTTGATAGCCCGCTTATGGGATATCGCGGCCGATTGACCATGGTTAGCTACTCCACGGCCTCCCGTGTGCAGAGAAATCCAGACCAAAGAAGTGTGTTGTGTGCAGCGTGCAACTGTTGCCGGCCCACTGCTCCACTCAACTTCCAGGACTCCTTCATCCTCCGGTACGGGTCCCCGCGCACGGCACAAACACGCGGGAGGTCATTGACTGTCCACCATCTTAGCATTTTAGATGATGAACTCGCAAGGACATGACCTCACCATCCCTGCAATAAAGCGCCTGGAGGTTTCAGTTATGTCTAATGCTTAGGGCATTAGACCTATAACAGGGCCGGCAACCTCTAGAAGGATAGTCCACCAGACTTGCCTTGGGGGATCTCAGCGACCTGCGCTACTCCCCAAGACCACGCCCCCTCGCCACCTCTGAAGGAGGTGGTGAGGTAGGCCTGCACCTATACTACCATGCAAAGCAAAGCAAAAGCGAAAGCAGAACATGTCGTAATGGGAACCGTGAAAGCATAGGCCCAGACCCCCCCCAAAAACAACAAAAAACTGCATTGTAAAAAAAAAAAAAAGAATACTAATATGTAAAACCTAAGAATTTGGTTTTGGGTCATCTGAACGCGGGCGGAGCCGCGGCAATGCTAGTTTTCCATATTAATGTGATGACGTGACTGATAAGTAGGTGCCTATTGTTAATAGTAGTGTTTTTGACAATAGATTTCCTAATTTTAAATGTAGGCCATGTCATTAGGTTATAGATAATTGCCTAATTCGATCATTAGGAATTGGAATACAATGAAGAGTATCAAGTGTCCCAGTTCCAGAAATAATAACAAAAAAGTAAAAAGTTCGTGAGTTTGTGAAATTGTGAGTTTGTGACGTTTTATGGGGTAATCTCTAGATCTACTGCACCGATTTAGATGAAATTTGGTAAGTAGATAGTTTGAGACCCTGGGACGGACATAGGACTTTTTATCCCAGAAATCAGTCCTTAAGGGGTTGAAAATGGGGATGAAAGTTTGTATGGGGAATCAAGCTAATTTTATAGATACTAGTGCTATGCGGGCGGAGCCTAAAACACTAGTCCATACTACCTAAATAAAATTGAATTGTCTGTTTGTTATGTCAAAACATCAGCTTTTTACTAAATGCATATGAAATTATATACAGTACTTATAAAAAAACAATTTTTAAAATTTTGTCTGTCTCTCTGTCTGTTTGTACTGGCTAATCTGCGAAACGACTGAACCGATTTTGACAAGACTTTCACTGGTAGATATATGATGCTATAAGTAAGGGACTTTTATTTTAGAAAAGAAGAATTAGGGTTCCGCTCAAAAAAAATAAAACGTACCCAGGGACGCACTTGTGCGAAGCGAGGGTGAGTCGCTAATAGGCTAATTATAATATAATACAAAGAGACTTTTAAAGTCGTAATTGATAGCGTATAATAATCATATATTTTAAACTCGCCTATCCATTTCCAAACTACGCCCACAAATATTTGCCTTTGAACAACCTGTTTGTTAGGTTGTTCACACACGTTATGTCATAGCGATGAACATAATTAGGTACCTAGTATACATTCGAGATGGCTATTTTTTATCATGTTATTCTTCGTTTTTGATAGTATAGAAGGCAATATGATAATCGAATTAGCGACTGTTTCGTTTGGGTTTTTCGTTAGATTAATTTATCGAAATTTTATATTATGATTAAATATTAAAGAATTTTAACTTATAAAACGCTCTGGGATATGAGAAGGATGTGATGTAAAAATAATCTACCCATAATCCAGCAGATGGTAGTGGTAGCCCAATGGTAACGCACTCGCTTGAGAAACCTAGTGAAGCGGGTTCAAATCCCGGGTCTCGCACCTCTGATATTTTCATGGACAATGTCTTACGGTGAAGGAAAACACCATGAGGAAACCTGCATATCTGAGAGAACTTAGCAAGTTTTCGTAGGACATGTGATGTTCGCCAACCCGCACTTGGCCAGCCTAATGGACTATGGCTTGATCCTCCTTGTATTGAATAGAGGTTCACCCCCAGCAGTAGGACGTTAAAAAGGGCTTAATACAATCCAGCTTAGTTTCTTTCGGCAGTTCTTCTCAGAACTGATGGTAGAATATTTTGTGACATACAATAAGTGTATTGAATAAAGGTTTTTTATACTTTAATATACCTACTTACAAAAACTTACAACACATTGCGTCAAAAGTACCTACTAAATCTTAGGTATATGAGATTAATAATAGAAATATCATTATAATAGAAATTAGAATAATTAACTATGTAACTAATTTTAATTAAAATACTATGCTTTGCGATTTATTGCAAGTATTACCTAAACAGATTTCAATAACTTAAACAGATACAATAGAAAGAATAATTATTATATTTGTTTTTTTCAGACATGATTGTTGCAGAGGCGTGGAAGGCAAACTATCTCTTCTGGATATTACCAGTGGTCTTCATCCTCGGTCTACTAGCAGTACTTGGCCTCGTCGGTCTTTTCCTCGCGGTACGTTTGTACGCCAAGTACACTTGTGGAAGATATAAAGAGACGACCAGGATGGATGGAAAGACCGTGATTGTGACTGGATGTACGAGTGGAATTGGGAAAGAAACTGCCAAGGAATTAGCTAAGAGAGGCGCTAGAGTAATAATGGCGTGTAGAAGTATGGAGAAAGCCGAGAAAGTGCAAGGTATCTAGTTTTTAATAATAAAATCTTATTTTAGTTTTGATGAATATGTTTACTTTTTGGTTTTATTTTAGAGGGCGATGGAAGGTCATAACGAAACATAATTCCTAAACCTCCCTATCCTCATGTAAAGTTTCATGAACACATTGATTGTGGAAGAAAAGTTTTTTTTGTTGTTTTTATTATTATTTCAATTATAAAATTTACATTTTAGATGAGATTATGCAGTTCACAAAGAATGAGAACGTATTAGTCAAGAAACTTGACCTCAGTTCCTTCGCGTCGATACGCACCTTCGCTGAAGACATCATCAAAACCGAAAAGAAATTAGACGTTTTGATCCACAACGCCGGTTACGCAGAGACCTTCAAAAAGAACATATCAGAAGACGGAATAGAACTAACTATGGCAACTAATCACTATGGACCGTTCCTTCTAACTCATCTCTTGATAGATTTGTTAAAGAAAAGTGCCCCATCACGAATTGTTGTGGTGGCTTCCTCATTGTATCGTTTGGCGTCAGTTAACTTGGACAATCCTAACCCTGTAAACACTATGCCAGGATATCTATACTATGTTTCTAAAGAAGCCAACATTTTGTTTACAAAAGAACTGGCGAGACGTTTAGAAGGTACGGGGGTGACTGCCAACTGCCTTCACCCTGGTTTAATCGATACAGGCATTTGGAGGAGCGTACCAGCACCTTTGAGTTGGGGGTTAGGTTTAATTAACGCATGTTTCTTCAAAACACCGGCCCAGGGATGTCAAACGTCTGTCATGTTGGCAGTAGACGAAAAGCTGTCAAAAGTGACAGGAGAGTATTTCTCGGATTGTCAAAAGAGCTCAGTGTCTAATTCTGCCAGCGATATGGGCAGAGCTAGGAAATTGTGGGAAATATCCGAAAAAATGGTTCATTTGGAAGAAAATGATCCTAGAATTTAATTTTATATGATATTGTTTGAAATAATTTATTTTTTAATCTGTATCCTACATAAAACATATTATGTTACATATCAAAATGATTTCTATATATTTAACCAATTATTATTGTATTTAATTAATGATTAATTAAATTTAGTGATTTTTAATAAAAACAACAAATAATAAAATACTTTTATTAGAATAAATATTTACACAAGACCATTCACATAAATATATCTGTGTACATACGACATTCATTTGTATTACTGATATATGTAGTTTAAAGCTTTTCATGAAAATTATACATAGTAAAAAGAACATAAAAGTGAGGCAAAATAACACGAAGGAAAATTAAAACTATAGTATACTAAATTAAAAAGATCATCATCATTAATTCAAAAGAAAAAATATTCTATAATAATAACCACCATGCACACAAGATTCTTAATTTTAAAAACATCAAAAAGAATGAATGATGATGATGAATGTATTTATGGAGTTGTTTTTATGAATATGCAAAATCTTCTTTTAGATGATTCATATTGAATTTGCTGTATTTGATTTCGTTTTTAACCAATGAGTAGAATAAGAAATACAAATATTTCCACTTTCAAACATCAACCCCACAACCTCACTAAGGTTAACACTATTTCAGGAATAAGTAAAACAATAAATAAATATCAGTCTATTAGGTCGAATTGGTCTAAAAACGTTTGATCTACCCCCAGTGCAGTTCCCAAACTTTCTCGAGGCCGCCTCTCGACTCTATCCATATCCAGACACAGTTGATCCAAATAATTCATATTAGTATTTGATTTAACTACAGCACAACTTGGACTTAAGAGATCAGGCAGTAATATTCTATTTGTGTTTACTCCAAAATGGACTTTCTCCTTTTCTTCATCTATTGTTGGTATATCATCATCATTTTGTGGCATCACACTTGCTCTAACTTTTTTGAAACGATTAATTATTTTCTCTAATGAACTTGTTTTTCTTATTATCGTTGAATTATTCTTAGGTGTCTTTGATGACTGTGTATCTTCTATACTCTTCCTAGATACTTCAAGTATTGGGGACACAACACTATCCATTTCATTAGTTAAATCAACTTTAACGGTATTTAGGACCTCGTTAATTTTGTTAACAGCCTCATTGTTAACTAATATTGGGAAGTTTGATGTGTCTAGTTTTCTAGAACTTTCTGCATTACCAAAGCCATGTGGAGAATTGCAGTTGCTATCTGGATCTAAGCATGCTATTCCTGAAACTTCAAACTGAGGTGGGCTGTCTTCTTTCATTATGGACAGTTTTCTACCCCTTAAGTTACCAAGTGATCGCTTTTCCCTATTCTCAAATAGATTTGGAGATGAATAGCTTCGGAACAGTCCATTACTTTCATTGGATGCCACTGACTCATTAAAAAGACCTCCCTTCTTAATTTTAATATCTGGTCTCTCTTGTTTATAATTAAACTTCTTCGAACTGCTGGATTTTTTGGTAGAAAGCAGCCTAATAATTTGTTGTTTGGTAAAGCCTGATGAACACTCTGCTATGGTTTCACTAGCTTTCATATTAGATGTTATGGACATGTTATGACAGTTCTGTAATATATTTGTATCATATGAACTCACTCTACAAGATATTAAGCTTTTTAGGAAGTCATCTTTAGGTGGTTGGTAGAAAGTTGTTACTAACGACTTAGGTTGTGGCTTCACAAATGTTCCACTAGTTCGCCTTCTCAAATTGAATTGATGCCTTGTTAAATTCAATGGTGTGAATGTCTCAAATAAAAGTTGGCAGTGATCCTTATTTGTTTTTAAATCTGAAAGATCTGGTATAGGAGGTATGTCCACATAATCTTTAAAGGATAGTGACTGATGGTATATCACTGAAGCAGGCTGAAAATAAAAGGTGAAAAATAGTTAATCTACATTTTTTTAATACATATTGGCAGATAAATTGGGAATTAAATGGCAAATAAACTAAAAATCTGGTGGAAAATCTTATAAATCGGCGACTAAGAAAACCGTGTTGTTCATAAAAAACAATAAACTATATTTGATTGTCTGCTTCATACTATATCCTAAAATTAGCATATACACATTTAAACTTATACTCATACTCCACAAAGTAAATACAATATTTTAATTTTAAAAAATCTCCAATTTAAACTTTACCTAAATCCAATGAGTACCAAAAAGTAATAAGAAGAGACACTCTCTGACAAACTATCAAATCAAATCAAAATATACTTTATTCAAATGGACTTTTACAAGCTCTTTTGAATCATTAATTTTACATTTTAAATTAAAATTAAATGTCAGTATTTTTTACTTAGTTTTTGTTAATTCAACTGGTTTTAATAATATTATAATATTGTGATAAAAATATTTTTTGCTTACTATTTTTATATTTCCCTATTTACTCACCTGAAGTTTAGCTTCCGCATTGAAGACCCTTTCTAATAATATCTTTAAAGCTGAAACCACTTCACCATAATTTCTTTTAGCGCCATCCAAGTATTCATTAAATTTATAGACATCATTACTTATTTCATTGTTTTTCAGTATGAAACAAACAGCAATAACAAATGCTCTAATTAAATTTGGAAAATTCAATATTCCATCTTTCTCAAGATTTCTCAGAATATACTTCTGCTCGCTGTTTACTTGATTTTGCAAATCTGTTGTGAAAATTTCATCGTTTTTTGAATCATATTCTACTGTATAGGAACTCTTTTCAACTTGACCAGTGTTTCTCTGTATTATTATCTCTGTAAGTTCTAATATATTTGTACATTTACTTAATAGTGGTGACACTTTCATATCCCAATTACTTTCTAAGTTATCTAATTTTTGGTCCACTTCCGAAAGCCAATTATTGAAAAAGCTTGACTGTTCACTAACATTCTTAATTCTCAAAAGTTCATCTTTAAAGCTATCATCAATTTCATTTTCTTCAATGAACTTGTCAACCAAATTATTTATATATCCTTGGGCATTTGTAGTAGACAGTGTGTGTTCCATTTCAGTTATTTTCTTCCTTAATAACATGGCAATTTGTTCCATAATTTTTCTTTTGCATAAATAATTAGAAAATTTACTTAGCATCACTGCCGTTTCCTTTTCTATACATTCAACGAAACCATCTTTCTCCTGTGATTTGTACCTTTCAGTCATAGTATTATAGAGGTCTTTCTTGTTGTCTTTTACCATCATTGATGTAAGTAAACGATTTACCGCCAACTGCGAGAGTTGGAATATTAACACTGTCACTTTAAAACAACCAGGATTCACTAAATATGAACACATAATAGGAGTCAATAATCCTAAGGCACTATATTCACTTATGAATCTATACAATTCATTTCTATACTTTCTTTCTGCCGTTGTGTCGTATAAAGGCCATGGTAGAGACGCATGAACTTGTGAATCAATTAATGACACCAAATAATACGACAAGTTATTGAACAAATTCTGTGTAGGCTTCTCTAAAGCATTATCCTTTAATACTAAACGTGATAATTCACCAGGCATTGGGTGTAACTTGCTGAGTAACCCAATATTTAGAATTGTTTCCTTCTTTAAAGTAACCACAAGATCTCTTTGCATGACTATCGTTGCCATGATGATTAAAAAATCAGTACATTGCAAATGAAACTTGATACACTCAGTTAAATATTAAATGGTTCAAAGTCAGTTACGATGAAATATCAACTTCATTAATTAAATAATGGATTTAAAAATAAATATCCACAACACGAAGAGTCAACACAAGTGACGACTATTAAATTTCAAAAAATTGACAAATTTTGCCGTTATTAATACAGATAACATATACATAAATGCATTATTTGATTTACCTAATATAAAATTATTTTCAAAGTAAAATTATAATAATAATTATTATTAAATAATGAAAAAAATCAATAAAGAGAAAAATCTTTTTAAATCTTAATATAATATTATACAATATTATAGTATTAGATCGTAAATGTATGTTTTGATTAACGCATTACAAAAATTTTATACAATATTTAAAACAATACTCAAATAAATAATAAAAAAACTTTGTAATACGATTATTGTGTTCTTATTTATAAAAGAAAAAATAATGTTAACAAAATCAGTCAGTATGTAATGTTTGAAATCTGATGGGTAAAACGGAATAGCATAACCTAAAAATAAAGCAAAATAAAGCTTTATAGCAAGGAGCGCGGAGCACTCTTTTGTGGTGATCAAAACACACGTGTTTATGTTACAATATTAGTAATGTAAAATTAATATTGATTAGTTTTAAAATGGTAAGTTTAATATACATATTAAACAAACGCAATGATTAGGATTGCAGTCTACATATAAAATCAAACTAGTATAATGTTCCCTAGATGAAGCGTTTACTAAAATCTAAAAGGCAGCAGCCAGGTTTAATTTTTTTTATGTATATTTATATAACTATAAGATAAAATCCTGACAAACAATATCAATCAATAAATACTAAATGAGATCATTACTAATAACTGAGCGATGAAAATAAATAAGTGTGGTTTAAATTATTTTAGCTTTGGTTATACACTCGACTTTAATGGATAATATGTACATTTTTTTAAATCATTTATAGTTCTGACACATTTCTTTTAGAAATTGACATATCATGAATAATTTGATTTTAGAGTAAATTATATGTGCTCTTTGAGCACAGCGCGGGGTTTGCCCTTTTCCGCGTGGCAGAGTTCGAAGAGCTTGCTGCCTTCTTACCTCAAGTAGAAGAATCTGTTACTGATTTACAGAGATTTAACTCTGTCGTGACTCTGATAGCCTTCCAGCCTTTTAAATCTGCAGTGTTGGCTTTGGAAAACATCAACGCTATTTCTGAAGGTAAGCATAAAGTTATTAGTGAATCTTGTAAATAACAACATATTGTTTACAAAACAAAAAATCAAGACTGATATTAAGTTTTTAAAATGTTAATTATTTGTTTACTTAGTACAAGTAGTCACTTTATTTTTATTTTGAGGTTATTTTTTTTCTAAATATTTACATTTTACTTGTAGGTATCTTACCCGAAGATCTAAACCTGTTTCTTGAGGGTGCATTACCCAAACGCAAGAAGCGCAGCAAATGCACCCTTGGAGTGTCTGATCCCAAACTGGGTGCAGCTATCAGCGAGGCCTTGGAGATCCCTTGCTCCCATACTGGAGCTGTACCAGAGGTGTTAAGAGGTCAGTCTTTCTATATGCATCATCATATATATTTTCAATGGTAGTGTTATATGTATTTAAAAGTAAATGTCAATATAAGTCAAGTCACCAAGTCGAGCAAAAAAAGGCACAGCAGCACCATCCTTTTTTTGAAGCCATTCAGGTCATTTTCGAACCCCCTGTAACTTCATTGTGGATAAAGCTAGAAGCCTCAATTTTCAGTGACTATTTTAAAAGACATTTAAGAGAATTAAAATACCATATTTGTTACAAAAATAAGAGGCAAATTTATATGAATTTTGTATTTTAGCTGTGAATAGTGGATAAAGAATATGAGCTAGATGTTTGGCCTGTCTATTTGAATGCACAAATTGATCTATTGCAAGCTTTTATAGCTTGTGGTAATAAAATTGTGCTATAGTATAGCAATTACAAGTTATGCCAACTTATGCTATTTCATAAGTATGGACAAAATTATTGCTACATTTTTTAATGCATGATTTAAATTTGTAGTACATGTAAGATGAGAATTAAAAAGAGTTATGAGTGTTGGTTTGTGAGTTGAGTGTTTTGTATTTTTTTTCTTTTACAACTAATGAATAAATATGTTTTATTGATCACTAGCGTTGCCTGCGGCTCCTCCGGCGTTCAGATTACCAAAAACGAAATTCTTAGGTTTTACATATTAGTATGCTCTTTTATTGCAGTTTTTGTATTTTTTTTCTCAGAAATGAGATATTTTTCCACAGTAAAAAGTATCCTATATGTTGACCCGGATAACCAATGACCACCATACCAAATTTCATTGAAATCCCTCCAGTGGCTTTTCTGTGATGCGGTAACAGACTGCTAGAATGGCAATACTGATAGAGGGAGTCGCTGCAAATATACACACAGCACATTGCATGATTTATTTTACTAATGTTCCCTAAGTAAAAGGGTGTTGACATTTAAAATTTTCTTGTCAGGTATCAGACATCATTTCCATGCACTGATCAAAGGTCTAACATTGAAAGCATGTAGCGTGGCTCAGCTTGGCTTGGGGCATTCCTACTCCAGAGCTCGTGTCAAGTTCAATGTTCACAGAGTGGACAACATGATCATACAGTCTATTGCATTGTTGGATCAACTTGATAAGGATATCAACACATTTTCTATGCGGATCAGGTAATATAGAATATTAGTTATAATAATTGTCCATTTTCAACCATTAAAAGAAAAAAAAATCATTTAAAAACTAAATAATCACATAATCAAGAATTATTTAATTTTTTTTATTAGTTTATCCAAAAAAAAATGTTTATTGATGTGAAACATCTATTGGCATGACAGTAAAACCGACTCGTGTTATTACGGTAAACGGTGGCGTGACTGATATGGACTGTCATACCATCATGCCCCTTCTACGCCACCTCTAGAGTGTGCACGCGCGTATATTTTACATGCTTCATTTCAAAATATTATTAAATAATATAATATTAAACATACATATTTTCTATTCTATTATATGTAATTGTTATTATAAGAAAAATAAATTGATTTTATGAGTGAAATTCCACTTTTTCTTTATATCACTATATTTCATTATATGTTTTAATTAATTATGAATTCTAATATTAACATAGATGTTTGAGATCTTTTGTCTTAATATTACACACACATATATTTGCAAATATCAATCTCCTAATGTTCTCTCTTTGGAATATGATAACTGAAAACCAGTTCAACAATTTAAGACTTTTATCTTCATAGGAAATATTAGGAAAATAAAAATGTTTAATGTAATACTTTCTTTTCAGAGAATGGTATTCATACCATTTCCCAGAGCTCGTAAGTATTGTTCCTGATAACAACCTCTATGCAAGGTGTGCAGAGTTCATAAAAGATCGGAAATCTCTTAATGAAGACTCAGTGGAACCACTGTCAGAGATCCTCGGTGATTCAGAGAAAGCTCAAGCTATATTGGATGCATCTAAAATGTCAATGGGAATGGATATATCTCCCGTAGACCTGATAAATATACAGATGTTTGCCGGACGTGTTGTGGCATTGAGTAATTATAGGTACTTTTTCTAATTACTAAGTTTTGTATAATTATAATACTTAATCCCATTAATTAATATTATAAATGCGAAATTATGGATGGATATTTGTTAATCACGCCAGAACGGATCTGGATGAAATTTGGCACAGAAATAGATTGTAGTCTTTAATAGTATAATATACTGTTTCCATGGGATAGGTTTGTTTTTAATTTTTATTTATCATTAGGGACGAACGAAGCGAGGTTGAGTTGCTAATTTGCTATAGTTTTTGTTTTATAGGCAATACGAAACACATTATATAAACATTGTTTTACCATTATCAAATATTAGTTAGAACCCTTACTTTAAAAGAGTATATATGCAAATTAATTAAATGCATTATTCTTTAACAGAAAGCAAATAGCAGAATATCTTCATACAAAAATGAACTCAGTGGCTCCAAACTTGACCACCCTCGTGGGAGATCAAGTGGGGGCTCGCCTTATCTCAAAGGCTGGCTCTCTCACCAGCCTGGCTAAGTATCCTGCATCTACTCTACAGATTCTGGGTAAGAGTTACAACGTGATATGAAGTATACTTGTATACTTAATATTATAAAGAGAAAAAAATGTGTTCTTTGTATTTTTGTTTGTAATGGATAAATTAGAAATCAACTGAACCAATTTAGATGAAATTTGGTATGAAGATAGTTTGAGACTCTGGGAAGGACATAGGATTTTATCACGGAAATCATACCTTAAGGGGGTGAAAATGGGCGAAAAAGTTTGTATTGGGAAGCAACCTAGTCTTTATGATAAGTCAATTCAAAGTGTTAATTTCTTACAGGTGCTGAGAAAGCTCTATTCCGAGCCCTCAAAACAAGATCCAAGACTCCCAAGTATGGCCTCCTCTATCACTCCACATTCATCGGACGTGCAGGCCTTAAGAACAAAGGTCGTATCAGCAGATACCTCGCCAATAAGTGCTCCATTGCTTCCAGGATTGATTGTTTCTCCGGTTAGTAGTAATCTATACATATAATAAAATAGTAACTTGGCGAAATTTGTACATGTAATATTTTTTAAAGACAATGGCTGTAACATATTGTGTACAGAATATAGATCCAGAAACAATAGTTATTAAAAATTTTGTCTGTATGTCTGTTTGCATTTCATGCAAAAAGTACTGAATCTTAATATTTTAATTAAATTATTGTAGTGATAACTTATTACTCAGGTCAACATTTAGCATACCTTGTAATGTAGGTTTGACTCAATTTTCCGCACTTAAACCTTAATGTTTAGCATACTTTTCACTACAGGAAAACTTTTCATTCTCACGGGAAAACACAATAACTGGTTCATGGTTCAAAAAATTTACATGGCTAATGCTTAAAAGGCCTATAGAAAAGTCTGGAATAGCTTCTCGTCTCTTAAGCTACTATCGCTTTTACAATATGTTACAACTATTTATATCTTTTTAAGCCGTACCAAGAGCCGCAACCGAGCAAAGCAAGAGTAATTCGCTAGTGTTGATATAATTCTTAAAATGAGTTGAAAACAGTCACCTATTATGGAATGAATAGATATGATGTTTGCATCCATAATATTATAAATGTGGCAGTGTGTTTATTTGTTTATTGTTAATTGTTTGCCCTTCTTTCACGTCAAAACAGAGTGACGGATTGGCGTGATTTTTTGTGTGAATATAGTTGGAGGGAGGGCTGGACAGTGAAATAGGCTACTTTTTACCGCGGGAGATTATCTCATTCAAATTCAATTTCAAAAAATGATTCGTGACCAGAATTACTTGAAACTTGGTATTATGCTCTTCAATACAATTAAATAAATACGTCTTGTAACATTTTTCAAAATTCATCCCATATGGAGGGTAAAATAGGGGATGAACGTTTGGATGAAACATGGTTCTTATTGATGTTTTAGCGTGAGCGAAGCTGCGGGTTCTGCTAGTAAAGATATAAAATTAAGTGTATGGAAAGTATATATCTGTCTGTACTCCCAATAAATAAGTTATTATGTTGGTACATAAAGTTATTAATATACAATTAAGTTATATATAATTATTATTATGAAGTTATATATAATATGTATGTGGTATATGTTTGTTACTCCACGCTAAAATAGAAGAATGGATTTGAATGTAGTTTGTATACTGTTAGACACTTAGGGATGAAGCCAGAGAGCAAAAAATTGTCTTTTTTGATTATATTGTGTTGTATGTCGCTAGTATTGTATATTATTTGCTTCCCGGTGTGAAATAACTCTACGATCTTAAAGGTACGTAATATGCAATGTTTATAGAAAACTAGGGACTCACCCTCGCTCCGCTTTATGTTCGTCCTTAGTCAAAAACAATTTTTTCCCACGGGAACCGTACATTTTCCGGGATAAAAACGGGTAACCTATGTGCTATGCTAGACCTTAATCTGTGCCAAATTTCATCCAGATCTGTTTAGTCGTTCTGACCTGAAAGAGTAACAAACATCCATCCATCCATCCACACAAATTTTCACATTTATAATATTAGTATAGATTATATTACAAAAAAAAAAACTTTTTTTTATCAATAGAAGTCCAAACAACAATCTTTGGTGAGAAACTCCGTCAGCAAGTTGAAGACAGGCTCAAGTTCTATGAAACTGGAGATATACCGATGAAGAATATTGATGTGATGAAGCAGGCCATCGAGGAGTTGGAGAATGCAGCTCCAGCTGATGTCAGCCTCAACAACAGTTCCAAGAAAAAGAAGAAGAAGAAGAATAAGGAAGTCGCTATGGATGAAGATTGAATATATCCAATTTTATTATAATGGTGTTTTATTTTTTATGCCTTATCTTGATTTATTGATTTCAAGTATGTAGTTTTTTAGACGTTTTATTATTTTTGAGTAATTGGTAGTAATTCATGTATTTGACGTGAATAATAGTTATGAATAATTCAAATAATAATTATCTTTTTGAAGTTATACTTCTTTTGGGACGTTTGGAGAAAAATATGAGAGTAAAATTTTTCCGATAAACACCGACAGCCAAAAAGCGACATGATGAAGTTAGCTGCATTCCTTTTACGAACAGAATACAGAGAGTTGTGACATATGGGATGAAATCTTTATTTATTTTTGTTCTATTACACCAAAGAAGAATAGCCTTACATGCGTAAATAAGTACACACACACATTTTTTTTATTGTTGTATGTTGTTATGTAAACCGATCATTCATTTATAGTTTTAGTTGAACTCTACATTGCTAAATTTCAAAATTACCGCTCAAACTCATTCATTCTTCCTCACAATACGTGACACTGGCAGAATGTATTGGATTGTTAACGCAATTAAGCCATTACAAAAAAATGTCAAGAAACAATTATAATTATTAATATAAATACATAGTATAAAGTATATAATAACTATAATATTAGACTATGCAGTATATTGAGAGAGAATTATACAACAAGAATGTTGTATAATTCGTTATTATACAAAGTAATGGCTTATAAAATGCCCAAGGCAAATTAAAACTTCATTTTAGTTTGTCAAAATATGCAATTCTGATTTAAAAATAAACAAAACGTTATAAGCTAAACTATTTTATAAAACCAAATTCAGACTATAATAATGCGTGCATCTAGACTTTACGCCAACTAGCGGCAAACACCTTAATCTATTGGGATATTTTTTTAATAATGTCAACATCAAGAAAAAAATGTTTTTTAATTTGATTAGACTAAGTACTTTTTAAATATATTTTTTTATTTATACCATACTTTTCACATCAAAACTTTTGACACACTCGTTTGTACAACTCTTGCGGTTAAGACATATTTTCCACTTTTTCTACTACACCATAAACGTGGTTGGACTGGAATATTTTTTTTACCTTTCTCAATATTGTGACCATGTTTAATATAATTTATGACTGGATGAAATCCATTTTTTTCCATTTTTATAAATATTCTTCTCTGTTACAAATGAACATTTTTATCCATCATCTTCGGGAATAAAACACTAAGGGGATAATAGTGCTGCCCTCTACATTTCGGGAACGGTTAGTACACTGTATTACTATATTATTTTATGTTAATAATTGTAACTGTTTTTAAAATAATACTATTTTAAGTTTAATTTTAAGCAATATTATTTTAAAATATGTTAAAATGTACAAATAAATTGCATTGTTTTTTTTTGTATGTACATACCTTTAAGGTTATAGAATATATTTTTAGGAAATATATTTAATTTTAATTTGATATGATTTTTCATTGATTAGCTTATTTGATATATGTTCAAATAAAGATACCTATATTTTATTTGAGTACACTTTTACAAAGTTTTTAATTTTGTCTTTTAAGATATTTTCTAATAAAATATCTCATTACAATAATTTTTCTATCCTTAAGAATTGATTTTTTTCCATTATATGGGACCATCTATGAGGTAGGTATAGTTTGTTTAAAAAATAATACAAAACATGTTCACAGTTAGCAAAAATATCGCGTTACATATGCACAAAAAAAAACAATTATCTATTATTACGCCCCATTCCATATAAAATAATTGAACAGTGCTATTTCGGGCAATTTTTAGATTTTGAATAAATAATTAATAGGTGTAGTCGAACACAAACTAATAACTAAAAGCTGACGAGATCCTACACTGTCGAACTACCTATTTTATTTTATAAATATGTGTATAAATATAATGCCATCTATTGATATTTATTTGAAATAATTTCTCTTTGTTTCTAATGAGACCCCACCCACGCCATTGAATGTTTTTGTATATCAATGCCTAAAGTTAAATGGTAAGGCCACGTGAAAGCTACCATCGGCTCAGAAGTCAGATGTTCTGAAAAGTACCCAAAAGAAACTCAACTTTTTAAAATAATATTTGTTTACAATAGGGAATATGCGTGTTTATCTATTTTTGTTATCAATGAGTTCTTGTCTGAAATAAACGCATATTATTATATTATATCATTGTATAAATGTAAAAAAATATCCTCCAAAATATTAAAATATAAGTTTTTTTAAGTATGGTTCAAGTGCTGTCATTTTAGCGCTTTGGGCACTATGTCTAGCGCTTTTTCGGTGTATTTTTTTCGGCATGACCATATTTTTATTTATATTACCGGTACACTTTAAGCGGAGGAATCCATTTTATTCAAGTTTTCGTTCATGGTTTTGACTTTTGTCACTCATGAACGTGAATTAGTTTTCAAGTGCACCAGCAGAGGGCACTAGGTTCAGTATTCAAAGATAAAATATAACTAACTAATATAATATATAATAATACATATCGTCGATATTATAAATTATATAATAAACTAGCGACTCACCCTCGCTTCTCTCGGTTTCGTCCCTAGCTTACTTCCCAGGATCTCAAATTATCTTTTTACCTTTCATCTTAATCGGTTTAGTAGATCAAGAGATTACCCTCTACAACGTCTCAAACTCACAAACTTTACCTCTTTATAATATTAGTATAGATATATAATAATAATCAATATATAATTATTATAAATAAAATATAAACAAATATTACTAACGATAATGTAAATAAAATTATGATTAAACCTCGAAGAAAAAATACTTCTCATATTTTCTGTTATTAAGTTGGTATCCTTGCGCGCATCACGCCAAAGCAGTACTTTTCAAAATGATTGAGCGGAGCGTTGCTGTAGTTGGAACACCGAAGCTAGCATTATACCACATAATGCGATTTAGTGATCTATAATTTTTTTTTTATAATTTGAAAATAGGGACTATTGACAGCAATTATTGTTATAATTATGTTTCTAGTCGATGTCCCGTGAAAGATTGGAAGTTGGGACATTCGAAAAATATAGTCAGAAAAAAAAACATTGATAAAGCTGGCGCTAGTCAGCAATGGGTGGTTAACTTTTTAAATTCTTTAATATTGTTTTTTATTATGTTGATGACAAAATTAAACGATTTGGTTGATCTTCGTTAGTGTTATTTATTCTAATATATAATTCAAGAAAGAATGTAATTAATTTAACACGAAATCAACCGCTGTTTAAAAGTGCTGTTTTTGTGAAACCTAGCGTTTTTTGTCTAGTTGACGTCATAGTCTATGACAACATTGCAATCAAAGACTACTATTGTATATCGGAAATTGCAATTGCAATCAACAAGTGAACAAGTGGTCAAGAAGTATTGTGATGCATAATTTATAAATACTTTGTATATTACGAATACTATACCATGGAAAAACACAAACAACCTACTTATAAATACTGTATTGTGCCCGAGTGTAAGAATACCATAAGGAATGCACCAGATAAAGTGTTTTTTCTTGTCCCAAGAGGTATCGAGATAAGGAGACAGTGGTGTAAAATAATTAAAAGAGATAGGATATCTCCATCAACTCCTTTATATTGTTGTGAAGATCATTTCAATGTAAGTGTTTGGGTCGTTTCCTTAAGAATTTAGACTAATTGTAAGATTGTTTTTGTGCTATACTTAGACAACCTACCAAAATATCTGAAACACAGTTCTAAAGTTTCAAAAAAAGTAATAAGCATTAAATATTGTGACTTGCCACTTTTAATTTTACTTTAGTATGTTTAGTTAATGTTTATTGCAAAGGTATAAACCCAATTCATAGTATTATAATATAATATATGATATTATTATTTTTTCACATCACTGATGCATATAAGCATGTCAAAACAAAACATTATAAAAACAAAATTCAGTAAAACTCTTCATTAAAATATTAGTTAAATGTTAAAAAATAATACATTAATTACTGTTAGGTACGTAGACCATTACTACTAAATCTTTATGAATCTATTTTTTATTAGCCTCCTGATGCACCGAAAGCCAAAACTTAAGGTCGAGCAGTCGAGAGTATTTACCAACGTCACAACGTTGTTAGAGACCCTCAAACTATGTATTACATGCACTGATTTTTTCCATATTTCATTTTATGTTTTCAGGTTGAAGAGGATACAGATAATTATATTCAGTACAAAATAATGACACAAATAAAACAAAAAGTTATATTACGATTAAAGAAAGGTATCCTGCCTCATAAATTTCAGTGTCAAAATGATACTGAGTTGCAGCCACCGCCAAAGAGAAAAGGTTCCTTAAAGCGCAAACATCAAGAAATAATTGAAGAAGCTTCATCTACACCTCATGCTAATGAAAGTGATAATGTACTAATAATTACTAAATCATCACTAAACAATCATTTAGAAGCAGACAGTTCATCTTCATGTTATATACAGACAATAGAAGATAATGAAACTAAAAATATATGTGAACCTGGTTGCAGCCCTTCTTTTTATAATGTATATGATAAAAAAATCTCCATCACTCAACCTTCAGTGTCATCATCATCTTTTGAATCAGAAATGAGTTCTGATTTGAGCTGTATAGAGGGTGATTCGGACAAAGACACACAATTTAAGAAAGAAATGCATAGATGCATGTTAATAGCTATTGAAAAGAACCCTAAAATGTTAATAGGCTTACCAAAAAGATCATATTATTTAATAAGGTTATTAAGTGAAAATATTCCACTTCCCACAGCAGACATTTTAATAACATTAAAGAAACTAAAACTAAATGAATCTTTCAGTATATTAGCTTTACAATTTGGGTACACACAGAGTAAAATCAGTGAAATTTTTTTTAAGAGTATACCTTTACTGTCAGAGAAAATGAAAGAATTGATTGTATGGCCAACACCTACAGAGATTTCTAAAAATTTGCCTTCACCTTTTAGGGCCAGATGCTCTAATGTGGTTTCTATAATTGATTGCCTCGAAATACAAATTGAAAAACCAACAAATGCAGTCAACCAGTCACAATATGAGAAATGTAACACAATGAAGTACTTAATTTCTTGTACACCTGATGGCTTGGTGAATTTTGTTTCTGTTGGATACAGTGGCGAGGCAACTGATATAATGCTAATTGAAGAAAGTGGTTTTCTTGAGCGTTTACCACCTAACACTGCAGTTTTGGTAGACAGAGGCTTTAATGGTATATCACATTTGCTACAAAAAAAAGATTGTACCGTTAAAAGACTCCCTTCTAAGTCCATTGGTGTAAAAAATGTTAATCTGTTGAAAAGAATAGCATCATTAAGGCTTCACATAGAACGTATTTTGGAAAGATTAAGGCAATTTCATATGTTACTACCTCATGCATGTATTGACCACGACTTAGTCCCTGTTATAGACGATGTTATATTAGTAGCTTGTGGGTTAATCAATACACAGTATATTTTATTAAAAAAGTAGCTTTATTTAAATTGTTTTTATTTCATTTTGTCCTTCTTAAATACCACAGGAAAAATAGCATTACACCAAAATAAGGTACGTACATTTTTCTAATAAACGTTTATTGTTATACTTGTTGTTATTATTTGTCCACTTCAATATTTAAACACAACTTTGTTTACATTACGAAATAAGAAAAAACAAAAGTCAAAAACTGTTTGACTCTTCAAAATCACTGTGGGGTTAACTAACTGACAGTTAAACTATAAGTCTAGTCAACAAGTGCCTTTTTGGTCAACTTTTTTCAGCAGGCTCGGAAAAGTATGAACGATGTGTCATTCGATTCGGAACGGCATGTAGATGATTATTGAAAAAAATCAAGTTCCGCTTGCAAAAATTGGATAAATTGTAAACAATTAATTAAGAAATATGCAAATATGCATAGAGAAATTTTCACTTCAAAAAAACGCCAAAATAATATTTAAAAACGACATTTTTATAACAAATCGAAATACTATACAAGCACACAGTACCACTGACCGGCGCGACGTCCCGGTATTAGCGATGGGCGTTGAATAAACTTTATTTGTCATCCATGGAATGAACGGACTAGTTCAATTAACCGGTCGACGATGCGTCGACGGTTCACGTATTTCAAATGAACTAGTTCAATTCATAGACTAAAACAGTCCGTCTCGCAACGTAAACTAGTAACTATAGACTGTCTAGCGTCTACAACTACATTGAAGCGTAAGTGAACCACAGTCCACAATTTGAACTAGTCCATCGACTAGCCGACGAAAGAAAATGAACGGTCTACTTTCGTTCACGCTAAATAATCGACGACTCATCGCTAGTGCTACCCGGTATAGTGTAAACCTATGTGCGTCAGTGCTGCCACCTGTAAGTTTAAAAAGCGCTGAACGCTGAGCGCCATAATTTGATTTAAAGCTCGATTTCTTTACTCCTAGAGGATATTGACTACGTCAAGAGACAAGAAGACCCTCCCCCCCTTCTGTGACCAAGCGTGGTATTTTGAAGAAACTGAACGAATCACATAATGTTACCCACATTTCGTGATCCGTTCAGTTTCTTCAATTATATTGGAATTTGGATCCATTATATCCCGTTATTGATTGCTGCATCATCTGATGGAGAAAGTATTGAATGAAATAACCTTCAGAGAAATCTATTAGTCAGTACTCAGTACTTTGGACACGGCGATAATAAAATACTAGCAAAATGCATCAAACAGATCAAGTTACAGATGCGTTTTTCTAATAAAACTGAAGCATGTTTGCATTTGTACCATTGCAATTATTTTGAAGAGTCAAATGGTTTTTTTTTTTCATAATAAATAAATATCTTGGGACATTAACACGCAGCGCCATCTAGTTCGATGATAAGCTACGAGGCTTGTGTTATGGATACCAGATAGTTGATACACTACATATATAACTTTAAATACATACATATTATAAATATAAACACCCATGACTGGATTACAAACGTTCGTGAAAACCCCAAATGCCCCCAGCGGGGCTCGAACCCGCGACCGCTGGCACAACAAGTAGGGTCACTAAAAACTGAGCCAAACATGTCGATAATACAAACAAAGTTAATAAGATTAAAGAGAAATAGGACAAAAAAATAAAAACAATTTAAATAAAGCTACTTTTTTATTAAAACATACTGCGTATTGATTAACCCACAAGCTACTATTATAACATCATCTATAATTGGGACTAAGTCGTGGTCAACACGTGCATGAGGTAGTAACATATGAAATTCCCTTAATCTATCCATAATACGTTCTATGTGAATCCTTAATGCTGCTATTCCTTTCAACAGCTTAATATTTTTTGTACTAGGGGACTTAGAAGGGAGTCTTTTAAGAGTACAGTCTTTTTTTCGTAGCAAATATGATATATCTTTAAAGCTTCTGTCTGCCATAACTGCAGTTTTAGGTGGTAAACTTTCAAGAAAACCACTTTTTTCAACTATCATTATACTAGTTGCCCCACCACTGTATCCAACAGAAACAAAATTTATCAAGCCATCAGGTGTACAAGAAATTAAGTACTTCAATGTGTTACGTTTCTCATATTGTGACTGGTTGACTGCATTTGTTGGTTTTTCAATTTGTATTTCGAGGAAATCAATTATAGAAACTACATTCGAGTGCCTGGCCCTGAAATATGTAGGCAAATTTTCAGAAATCTCTGTAGGTGTTGGCCATACAATCAATTCTTTCATTTTCTCTGACAGTAAAGGTATACTCTTAGAAAAAATTCTACTGATTTTACTCTGTGTGTACCCAAATTGTAAAGCTAATATACTGAAAGATTCATTTAGTTTTATTTTCTTTAATGTTATTAAAATGTCTATAGTGGGAAGTGGAATGTTTTCGCTTAATAACTTTATTAAATAATATGATTTTTTTGGTAAACCTATTAACATTTTAGGGTTCTTTTCAACAGCTGTCAATGTGCAGCTACACATTTGATTTTTAAATTGTGTTTCTTCATCCAAATCATCCTCTATGCAGCTTAAATCAGAATTCATTTCTGATTTAAAAGATGATGGTGACACAGAAGGTTGAGATATGAAGATTTTTTTATCATATACATTATAAAAAGAAGGGCTGCAACCAGGTTCACATATATTTTTAGTTTCATTATCTTCTATTGTCTGTATATAAGATGAAGATGAACTGTCTGCTTCTAAATGATTGTTTAGTGATGATTTAGTTATTATTAGTTCATTATCACTTTGATTAGCAGGAGGTGTAGTTGAAGATTTTTCAATTATTTCTTGATGTTTGCGCTTTAAAGAACCTTTTCTCTTTGGCGGTGGCAGCGACTCAGTATCTTTTTGACATTGAAATTTATGCGGAAGGATACCTTTCTTTAATCGTAATCTAGTTTTTTGTTTTTCTTGTAAAGTCATTATTTTGTACTGCATATAATTATCTGCATCCTCTTCTATCTAAAAATAAAATGAAATGTGGAAAAAGCAAAGCCTAAGTATAGCACAAAACAGTCTTACTATTAGTCTAAATTCTTAAGGAAACGACCTAAACACTTACGTTGAAATGATCTTCACAACAATAAAAAGGAGTCGATGGAGATATCATATTTCTTTTAATTATTTTACACCACTTTCTCCTTATGCCCATACCTCTCGGGACATGAAAAAACACTTTATCGGGTGCATTCGTTATCGTATTTCTACACTCAGGCACAATACAGCATTTATAGGTAGGTTTTTTCGGTTGTTCCATGGTATATTATTCGTAGTATACAAAACATAGATAAATTAAACAATACTTTTAGACATTTTCAGTTGTTGATTGCAATTTGATCACAGAATTTGATTTTGGAATATTCAATAATGTCACTTGTGAGTTGTGACAAGTAATAGGCAGCTTGTCAGTTGTCATTTTTATTTGTCATCAATGGTTGTCATACTTATAGTACTATGGCCTCACGCTAAGCGCGCCAAAATGGTAGGCGTTTAAATAGAAAAAAAATAGTTTTTTAAGTGAAACTGCTTTAGAATCGTTGTGATTTGAAACCCGATGACACGGAAATGCGATGCAAGAAAGAGACAAACAGATAGGATAAAGGATTAAATATTATATAGGATTAAGTCGGCGAGAGAATAAGATAGAATACATTACGCATGAAGTAAAAAAAATACTGAATAATATGTGTAATATATGTTAAATAAAATGTTAAGTAACTTGGTAAAAAAACTAAACTTATTACATGCAAAAACGAATATTTATTACTGTGAGATGAATATGCATAAATTAAAAATTAAATATGGTACTCGGAGACTGCCGCGGTAAAGCTATTGCATAGCATTTTTTATCAACTTATGCAATTATAATTATTTATTTATTTTATTAATGCAGTATTTTTTTTCCTTGACTTTCTTCATTAATAAATTCACTTTGTTTATTCATATTTAAAACACTTTGTACACAAATTATACGAGTACAGATATTCACTGTTGTACATAGATGATAAATACCTATACACCTATATACTTTCTCACAAACAGACCTACCCTACCCCAGCCTGCAAATTTATGATATTCGCAATGAAAAAAATACTAATCGATAGATTTTTAATAGCTCAATTCAACTACGTAGCCCTTCCAAATTGCTCACCATTAATTATATAATTAAAAATCAATAAAGTCCTTGAAAAAAAATTCATTTATCCGTATTTTCAAATTTCTATATCTTTTGATATATACAATATTTTAAATTGCTCAAAGTTCTAAAATACTGCTCAAGTTGCATTTGTAATTGCTCAAGTAGGGTTCTCACCAGCTCCACTTTCCTTAATTATTAAATAAATATAAATAGTTTGAATAAATTTAACGTATAGATAGGTGAGTGCTGCGCATGCGCGCAAACAGTAACGCGAGTCGCAAGGCAAAAAAATCAAGTGTTTCATAACCTCATCATAGTGAAATGAAACTGTAATACTCCAAGCACAACATCATCTATTATCAGGTATTTTTATTATTTATTGACTTATTCATTATGTTCAATTTATACAAAAATCAAATCATGACTAAAAGGTAACTTTATTTTGTAACTTTATGTCTGTTTACAAAGTATTTTCTATATATTCTTCTTTGCTCCAAAACAAAATAAGTTGTAGTATACATGCTCATTATGTTTGCTGGATATTTTTCACTTTTTGACTAAAACTAAAAAATGCTAGAATAAATATAGCTAAAATATACATAAATCTGCTAGTCAATAACTATAAGTAGGTGTATCAAGGTGAAAATGAACTCAACAATGTAAATATGATTTTATACTTTATTAATGTTTTTTGCCTTGCGACTCGCGTTACTGTTTGCGCGCATGCGCAGCACTCACCTATCTATACGTTAAATTTATTCAAACTATTTATATTTATTTAATAATTAAGGAAAGTGGAGCTGGTGAGAACTCTACTTGAGCAATTACAAATGCAACTTGAGCAGTATTTTAGAACTTTGAGCAATTTAAAATATTGTATATATCAAAAGATATAGAAATTTGAATATACGGATAAATTTTTTTTCAAGGACTTTATTGATTTTTAATTTTATAATTAATGGTGAGCAATTTGGAATTTTTTAAAATTCTTTCACTTATCAAAAGCCACATTATCAGCGAGTAACATGCGCCATATTTTATTTAAAAAGAAATTAGAGATCCCCACGAAAATCGCAATAATGCTTGTTTTCCAATTACAGCACTAAAACGCATTATGCGGCAAAATGCTCATCTTCGAATGTTTCAACTACAGCAACGTTACGCACAATCGAGCACTTTGAAAAGTACTGCTTTGGCGTGACCAACTAGCTCTGTAGCAGAAAATATGTTTTTTCGCGTTGTTCGTGTTTGTGCGCCAAAGTGCGGCATTATGCTCTGTAATTGGAAAACAGGGATGTAACCTAAGGTATCAAAAATTTGCCTTTATTAGACATTTGGAGCGCGCTTCGAAAACTAAGGACAAACCCAAGCGAAGCCAGGGCGAGTCGATAGTATCAACTAAAGCCCACACACATCTGCAAAATATTGCGTAACGTAGGTATTATATTAAAAGGTTAAATAATATGTATAATTTTTTTTATACCTAGTTTCATTTTTAAACATTAATTATCATTAAAAAAACCATAAAAAGATAATAAAACACTGTTTCATTGACTTTATTTATAATATCGGTAATATACATTTAAAAAAAAATAAAATTACAAGTACATTTTTGTCGTGAGCGATTTTAATTATTGCCCTTAAGGTTGCCAGTAAAAAACTTATTTATTTTGTAATCATTTATGCTTAAGTTTATGTACAACTCATATAAAAACTGTGTTTTAGCTCGATAATAATATTAGCAATACGACATATTTGTTTGGTTAGAATTATTTATCAAATGTTGCAAGCACTAACTTTGTATTGCTAATTTAGTGTTGCAATTTATTTTAACGTTAATATTAACTGAGGCTAGCTGGGTCACAAAAAATTTAAAGATATATGGAATAGATATTGATAGTAAGTTTCCTTCTCCACACAATTTGCACGTTTCTTTTTTTCCATCGGTGTTGCCAGCTATTGGGCCAAGGAGAGTTCCACATTTTGAACAGAGCATTGCCTGAAAAAAAAAAAACAATTTACAATTATATTTCGATTCAATTTGCAACATCTGAATTTTTAACCAATTGATTTTTCCTATTACATTGTCAATTGTGTGACAATTTTGCAAACTGTTTTACAATTTTTAAAGCATTTTAGACTTGTCTACCTGAAGGGGTAGGCAGGAGGAATAGGTGTGTACGTATATGTATATATGTACGTGTGGGACCTCTTCTAGCTCTTATCGGACAATAGAAGATATATGCGTGTGTGCTGCGTGTATGCGTGCGTGAGTGTATGTGTCGGTCATGAACGAATTAGAGACTGGACTTGACATAAAATACAAATGTATGAAAAATAGTTCAACCAAAAGACGCATAACGCACACAAAGATTTTATTACATTATTATAAACACTGATACACAATACAATATTTCTAGTGCTTGAACGTAATCGATAAAATACATATATCGATGAACCAATGAATGACATTTTAGACATTGGTTAGCATAGTCATCATATTTTACATCTTTTAATTTACTCTTCTTCTTTTAATTTTAATAAATTAAAATAAATGAATTAAAGAGGCAATAATAATGTGTCAAATAATAATTATGTTTTAATTTGATTTATATAAATACGATGGCATTGATGGCAACATTCTGTTGGCCTATAATAATGTTAATGAACAAATGAATATTGGGTATATATTCCATTAATATATAATAAATATTATTTTGTAAAGATTAAAAAAATATTAAGCTAATTTAATTAAATAGTGATTTTGTTGATTCTGTTATTGAACTATTTTAATTGGCAATTGATTGTCTCGGGTAGTTATAAAAATGTGACACTATCCTAATATTGCTCAGTTCTTAATAAACATTTGTAGAATTAGGAAAAAGAAAAAGTGATTACAAATTAAAGTGAGTGTTGGATCGTGAAAGTAAAATAATTAGTGTAAGTGGTAAAGTGTTTTATTACAAATCGCCAACCCAGAAGTTTAGTGCTAAAACATTATTGTTTGATTTTGTGTAATTTATGTGTTGAAATAAAATGATCTTTATTATTATTACAATGGAATAATATTCCAAAGTATATAAATGTGGAATAAAATAAAAATTAAGTACACATACTAATTATAATTTTTGCATTTATATTTTTATTTGATTTAGAAAATATTTTTATAAATTTATTGTCATCAGATTGTAGAATACTGTGGTAAAAGTATTTTATGTTATTGTACTGTACAAATAACACAATTCGTTTAGTTATTTCGTCAAATATCGATATATTTTTCGACATTGTCAAGCACTAGTCGATGTCAAATGGACTCACTCGACAGTTTTGTCATTTGTTCTGAATTGTATAATCCAGCCATTTTATGATGGTTGTCAGATATCAACAATACATAGAAATATCGACTATATTTAACATATTTGGATAATATGACATTTTATTTTACATTTAATTAAATTGTGTGATAAATAACAATAAATGTAATAAAATAATGTATTTACAAGTGAAAAAAAATACTGCTGCTTCCGCCGTTATAGTTTTTACATCATTTAACAGAACATTTAGTCATTTTTGGGAGATGTTTTGTTGACAAATAAGTGCTTGAGACTGACGCAAAAAACAAACGACCAAGCCTAAAATCTCCTGGTTACTGAGAAGACCGATAAAGGTACATCCGCTTATATGTCTGGTCCAGTGGTTAATTCGTTCATGGTGTCGGTCGTCACTTTAATCTTGTCGGAGCGGTGTAAGGTGTATGTATATGCGTATTGTCTACGCGTGGGCTCTCACCTCGGCTCATGTGTATACGAGCGTGTGTGTATATGTGTGTACATGTACGTGTCTAAGTGAGTGAGAGAGAGAACTCACTCTTGTCGCAGCAGTGGAAGATGTACGTATACATACGTGCGTGCATTTACGTGTGTATTGGTGTATCTATGGGACCGTACTTCACTTGTAGGAACAATTGAATATGTATGTATTAGGATGACTTATTTCCGCCAAAAAAATTTTTTTTCGGTGCTCAAGCAAAATATTATCTACATAAAGAAAAAAAAATCTTACCAAGTTTGAACTCTTAACATCAATTTTAAGTTTTCTCATATAAATCGATATAAAAAAATGTATTTTTTTCAAATTTCTAATGCTTAGCCACCTTTTACAATATTGTGAATCGGTTTGATGGACCTTATAGGGAATTTCACGCTCTTCGAAATTGCTCTAGTGTTATTTGTGTAACTCGCACTGGTTCGCCAATAGGAGTCGTGACCCCCCCCCCCCCCCCACAAACGTGCGTTCACCTTTTTCCGAGTGTCACATCACTCTTGTCGGAACAATCGTATATGTACGAGGGTGCGTTTTTAAGTTCGCGAAATGAGAGGGTTGGAGGGGGGTGATTAGGCTCATTAGGATCGTAACGTGTTTAGTGACTCATTATTAGTATAAATACGAGATTTCATTGTTATTAGATTATTAGTCTTTGAGCTATTGCCAACCAAGCAACATAATCAGGAGTGAATAGTGCAATATGGAAAAAATCTAATATCGTGCCGTTATAAAGTTCCTTACCAAGCAAGGAAAATCAATTGCGACCATAATGGATGAAATGTCATCGGTTTACGGTGACTCTTGTCCAGGAAAAACCATGGTGTACAAGTGGCACAGTTTGATTAAAAAAGGAAGGGAATCCCTTGAAGACGACCCGAGGCCGGGCAGGAGCATCGAGGTGACCACGCCAGAACTTATCCAAAAAGTCGAAAAACTTGTACTCGACGATGCTCGACTAAAGAAGAAATAACTCGCAGAAATAGTTGGAGTATCCGATACAACCATTTTTAAAATCGTGCACAATCATCTTGGCATGACTAAGGTCAGCGCAAGATGGGTACCGAAAATGCTCACGCCGCCGCAAAAACAACAACGCGTAGAGTGTTCACGTGCATTTTTGGACCTCTGCAATGAAGACAAAGATGGTGTATTGAGTCGAATTGTTACTGGCGACGAAACTTGGGTTCATCATTATGAACCTGAGTCGAAACAAGACTATGCAGTGGCATAAAAAGGGCACAGCACCCCCCAAGAAGTTTAAAGTGTCACAGTCAGCTGGGAAACTCATGGCAACGGTCTTTTGGGACTCAGAAGGAATATTATTGATCGATTATAAAGATAAAGGTGTTTCTATAACCGGAGAATACTACGCTTCAATATTAGAGCGACTAAAAGAAGCCATTAAAGAGAAAAGACGGGGAAAATTGACGAAAGGTGTGCTGCTTTTGTACGACAATGCGCCCGTCCACAAGAGCCGCGTTGCGTTGGCTGCCCTGCTTAAAGTGGGCTTCGATATTTTGAACCACCCACCCTACAGCCCAGACCTGGCCCCGAGTGATTATTACCTCTTTCCAAAAATGAAAAAAGAGCTGCGGGGTAAAATATTTACAACCGATAATGAAGTTTAGGAGGCAGTTTCAGCGTATTTTGAGGACAAAGACAAAACATTTTTTTATGAGGGTATAAATAAATTAATTAAAAGATCTGAAAAATGTGTCCGTCTTGCAGGTGAATATATTGAAATGGAAAAATAATTTGGTTTTTTTAATTCAACCCCTTACCCTTCATTCCGCGAACATAAAAACGCTCCCTCGTATGTATACATGCGTGTATGTGTGTGTATGTATGTGTGTATCTCACCTCGCTCTTGTCGGAGCAGTGGAACAGACGGTCTTGCAGCAGGAATGCGGCGCCGTGCGAGATGAGCGCGTCGCGCTCCATCTCCCCGAGGCGCACGCCGCCGCCGCGCCGCCGCCCCTTCACCGGCTGGCGGGTGAGCGCGTCCACCGCGCCCGTTGTACGCACCTACCGGGGATATTGTTGCTTTTCACTCATAAGACATCATCTATAACTCGAGCGAATCAACATGACACCTGGCTCGAGTGACGTTTGTCCAATGTACAGTGTGCAAAAAAGTTTTTGTTTCCATTTCACTTTTTCGTACGAAAACGAATAATATTTAATTTTTTAAACTTATAAATTGCATAGATGTATCGGTTTTAGGTTATAACTTATAGTTGTCATTCGATTTATATGGAAATAAAACATAAATAATTATTCTTATTTACGAGTATGTATTGGATTTATGTATTTACTTTAATTAAAACGTTATATTTTGACTATTACGCTGAATCGTCACCTTCATAAAGTTCTTCTATACCAGATCAACACTTTCACTTTCTGAAGAGCTTTCTTCTCCTCCAAGAGAAATCATAAATTTACTTTCATGAATTTCGTGGAGTCTGTCATTTTCCAAATATTTATTTTTTATTATATTTTTGCTCGGCTTATAAACTAATCTATACTCTATTAATCCATACAGTGGTCTAATGAACGCCTTCGTGAAACACGACTGACGCGCACTCGACTATCATACTTCTACGTCATACATTCGATAAACAGCTATAAATTACCTCGGTGGTCTAGTGGCTAACATGCACGACCGCATCCGAAGGTCCTGGGTTCGAGTCTCAAAAAAAAATCCACCAAAGCAAAAGCATAGTTTATATATAACATCAAATTATCCAAGTAAATCTAACAAAGTATTAGGTATTACACAAACCTGCCACTTATCAGACACCATGTGCCTCAGCCGCTGGTAGTGCACGAGGCCGCAGAAGATATCTGCCTTCATCTCACGACCGTCCACGCCGCTGTACAGCCTCTCTGTACCAAAGTAGTTGTAACCACCGGCTTCCAGAAGCCTGCCGAAGTAGTTGATGGCTGTGTCCTTTTCGTTGAAGCGGAATGGGGATGCGTCGTGCACCTGAATTGAGGGTATATTTTTACTAACCCTTATGAAAAATGAGGGATGTTATGAAGTTTAACGTGTGTCTGTGTTTATCTGTGGCAACGTAGCACCTAAACGGATGAATCGATTTTAATTGAGTTTTTCCAGTTATACTTGTTTTGGGACGTATGGAAAAAAATTATGAGATTAAAATTTTTACGATGCGCGCGTACACCGACAGCCAAAAAGCGACATGATGAAGTTAGCTTATAACAGTTTGTTACCATGGTAACCGTTGTTATTGTCTGACAAATAATTAGATCGTAATGATAAAGAAAAATGAATGAAAAGCATGAATATAATAATGGATTCGTTATGTCGGAAAAACATGTTTCGATGGAAAAGGTAAGTATACTAATTATTTGCTATTTTTTACAAGCTTCTTTTCGATAAGTTTACGTTATTTTACTATAACAATTTTACAATTCATATTTCACTTTTTTTTGTTCTGTTACGCCAAAGAAGATTACTTCTTACGTGCATACATAAGTTATTTTAAGTTTGAAAGGTGACTTGATCGAGTGTTCTTAGCTATAAATGAATAATCCAAAGCTTGGTATCCCGTTACTTTAATATCATTGCAACGATATGGTAACCATGGCCTTACGCTGCAGCATCACCTGGAATCTGCAATATACTCAACTCTTCACTAAAACTGCAAAGATATCGTGTTTAGACTTATTGAAATGGCCTCAACAGATAGGTTACTGTGTTGTTTTTTTTAATGTAAAAGTTATTTTTGATTAATTAGTTATTTATGCAAGTGTTTGTTTGTATATGTGTGTTTGTGTGCGTACACGCGTGTGCAGTAAGTGTTAGTGATATATTAGGTATGATGACTCACATGTCCATGCAGACATGCCGCTTTGCCCGCCATGCACTCTATCATCATAGCTATGGTCATTCTGGAAGGAAAACCATGGGGGTTGAACAGAATGTCCGGGATGAGGCCTGACTCTGTGAAGGGGAGGTCCTCCGCCGCCCATTTCTGCGAGCAAATACCCTTCTGCCCGGCTCGGGAAGCGAACTTGTCACCCACTGTTGGGTTACGCTGGAAATAAAATCATTGTTAATATACATATATTCTTTATAATACACCATTATTTTACATTATATAATAGAAAGAAATTAAAGTAGAAATAGTACAATAGGCGACCATATTAGATGGGTTTTAATACCGTTTTCTTCAATAGGTAGTGATTCATGAGAAAAGTTTAGGTGTATAATTCGTTTGTATTCGGCCTTTTTTAACGTCCCATTGCTGGGAGTGGGCTTTAGGCCATAGTCCACTACGCTGGCCACGTGCGGGTTAGCAACTTCGTCTTTCGAAAACTTGTTAGATTCTCTCAGATATGTAGGATGTTTTCCTTCACCGTAAGACAAGTGGTAATATTCGAAAAGATTCGCACATACAATATCAGAGGTGTTATTACATTGATAAATAATTTTTATTAACTGTTTGAGTAATACAGACATTCACTAATCAATTAATCATGTGGGTTGTCTAATACAATTCAGGTCATATAATACTAAGACTGCTATTATATATTCGAAAACGAAGAACATTTAAATACGATCGAGATCCTGATTTGAGCCCGTTTCATTACTAATCTATACTAATATTATAAAGAGGTAAAATTTGTTTGTTTGTGATGTTGTAGGGGGTAATATCTGGATCTACTGAACCGATTTAGATGAAATTTGGTAAGAAGATAGTTCGAGACATTGGAAAGGACATGGCATACTTTTTATCCCGGAAATCACCCTTTGAGGGGATGAAAATGGGGATGAAAGTTTGTAACGACACAACCGAGCTAAGCGAGGGTGAGTCGCTAGTATAAAATAAATGCAAAAATGTTTGTGTGTACGTCGTATCAGCAATTCCGGCTGAACCAATTTGGATAAAACTCAGTACACAGATAAGACAATAAGCTGGAGTATTGTACACTATGGTATCACCTGTATGCGTACGACGACGCAGGCCTTGCGCGGGGCGCGGGGCGAGAAGTCCCCGCAGAGGCGCACACTGTCCACGAACACCTCCTCCTTGCCGTGGTACTTGCTCACTGCGAACTGGCTCTTCTCTCCGTCGTAGAAACTGATCAAATATAGCAGTAGCCATTGAGATAACAGAGATAAAATACATAAATGTAAAGAAAACGTAGTAGGTGACCCGTCAAATCCCCGTATAAATATTTTAAATGTGAAAGAATGTTTGTTCTTTCACGTCGAAACAGAGTGACGGATTGACGTGATTTTTTGTGTGGAGACAGTTGGAGGGCTGGAGAGTGACATAGATTTTCTCATTCCCATGGGAAAACAGGTTATAATACAACCCACAACAACTCAGCAAATAGCATATGTCACTTTCCAACCCTCCATCTGTCTCCACATAAAAAAATACGCCAATCCATCACTCTGTTTAGACATGAAACAATAATAAACAAACACACTTTCACATTTATAATATTAGTATGGATCTTTTCTAATTCTAGTAAATACCCAGGAGTACCATCCACTCACCAGTAAAACGGATCCTCTGGTTGAACCCTGGCACCAACAGCCGGCAGACCATCCTCATCTATATACGGTGCCAGTTCGGGCTTGCCGGGGTCTCTGCAGAAGTACGAGGAAGAGTGCTTCAGCTCAATGAATTCAGACTTGTACACTGTGCCGGCTGCGAAACCCCTTTCGTATGAAGATTTGTTTATTATCATCGCGTCTTCCATATCGTAACCCTGTGGAGGATTGTTGTTTTACATATCATATAATAAATAAATATGTTGGGACATTAACACACAGCACTATCTCGTTCCATGGTAAGCTACGAGGCTTGTGTTATGGATATCAGATAGTTGATACAATACACAAATATAACTTAAAATACATACATATTATAAAAATAAACACCCATAAATGGAGTACACACATTCGTGCTCATCACACAAATGAATGCCTCCAGCGAGACTCGAACCCGCGACCGCTGGCACAGCAAGTAGGGTCAATATATTATGTTATCAGGAAAAAAATATATTGTTCAATCAAATGTCAACAGATGGAGTTACATGTATTGATGCTAGTTACGTTTGTGTAAAATTAATAAAAAATGCAAAAACGTTAATCTGGTTTTAAAAAAATAAAAGAGATTGTAGGTAAAAGAAAATTTAGTAATTTTATTAAATTTTAATGATTTTACTAATGATCGATCAATTAGTTAATGAGTTTGTACTGCAGTCATAGATGGCCGAGCTTACATTAAATAAGTCGTTGTACAGTAATTTTTTGTAAAAAAAAATACATTTAGTCACTAAAGTTTGTTTTGTTAAATTGGCAATGAACTTAATAATAGTTAATATGTTTTAATACACACATATAAATAGAAAAAACAGATCAACACCATTTATTGTCATAAGAAAACATAAATAGCCCGACTTGAAGCCATAAAATATATTTATATTGAATGAGACATCTATAATATAATATATTGTGTTATATCCAAAATTAGTTTATATTTTTTTTATATTTTACATATGGCTAACGGTTTTAAAAAAGAAAACTTTGAAAACCTGATACATTAAACAAACAAAAACAAACCTTACCGTGTAAGAAATAACAGCCAATATCGCGTTAGTGCCAGCAGGATAGTCATCTAGACTTAGATTATCATAGTGGAGCGGTCTGAACAGTGGGGTGGCCCCACTTTGTAGACGGTACAACTTGGTCTCTGCGTTGGTACCCCATGTGTGTATGGGAGTACCCATGGTTTGCTTCCCCATCTGACATTGGTACATATTACTGAGGACAAAGAATTACGAATGTTCATATAAAATATATGTAGATACACAGGTTGTGATTTTTTCGGTTAAAGATTTTACATTTTACAAAATACTTAGTTTTAATCTATACTAATATTATAAAGAGGAATTTTTTGTTTGTTTGTTTGTACTGAATACACCCCGAAACTATTGACCCGATTTGGACGAATTTTGGTAAGAAGATAGTTTGAGATCCTGGGAAGGACAAGTGTTTAACACTTAAATCATCCCTTACGGAGGTTAAAATGGGGATGATAATTTGTATGGAGAAGCAATCTAGAGGCGAACCCGAGCGAAGCGAGTGTGAGTTGCTAATAATATTTAAACATAATATATATCACTGTTTTCAAAAAAAAATAATTACCGAGGCGACTGGTTGCAGTCCGGCATCGGCACTAGTTGGGCGAGATTGCTCATAAACGCCGATTTTGACAGCTCCAAATGCGTTGTTTTACCTAGAAAATAAAAAAAATATAATACTAAAAATATTATATCCACAACACAGAAAAAGGTTATTCAATTATATTTTATTATATGACCACATATTATGGCATTGTTTTGTTCTTTATTAAATTTTTCCGCAATGTGCCCCTCAATTATGAAAACCTTGCCATTCGCAATACAACACTACTATTCGAAAAGTATATGTGTGTATGTGTGATACATACTCTTTCCGAACCGCCTGAACAGATTTGGATATAACTTGTACACAAATGACTATGACTAGTATTGCAAAAAAAAAACTGTTTTTTTTCCTACCGTGAAAAAAAAACTTTTCTGTAAAAAAAATCATAATTAGAAAAAAGCAAAGGTACTAATTTTTTTTTAAACATAGTGAAAAAAAAATCGTTTTTTTATGTTACATGGCTATACACTATGACTACTTTTGATAATAAAATTTACACTTACACGTAGCCTGTAATAAAAAACAGTTAATTCTTCCATCTAAAACCATTATACCCCAAAATACCTTTTATAATCTCAGTCTGTGTGACGGCCACGTCCAGGTACAGCTGTTCCATGGTGCCGATGAGCTCCAGCTGACCGGTGGTGAGGTTGATGACAGGCCGCATCATGCGCGCCTCCGACGTGAACAGGAACACGCCCGCGTACTGCGCGCAGATCTGGTACCAGATATTATGTTTAGTGAATGAAGTTTCTATACATTTTCGGTTATTCAATTTGTAGTGACCCTATTTGCTGTGCCAGCGGTCGAGGCTTCGAGTCCCGCTGGGGGCATTCATTTGTGTGATGAGCATGAATATTTGTACTCCAGTCACGGATGTTTATATTTATAATATGTATGTATTTAAAGTTATACTATATGTGTAGTGTATCAACTACCTGGTATCCATAACACACACCTCGTGACTTACCATGGAACTAGATGGTGTGTGTAAATGTCCCAACATATTTATTTTACACGATTGTTTGGAGGTAAAGTGGAGTTATTTTTTTTTAATTTAACCATTCTCTTTATATTATGTCTAGAAGGGCGAGAAAGAGAGGAAATCAGATTATTATGATAAATGCGAAGTACATGTGTGTGTGTGTATATATGCATATATGTGCGAGTATGCATGAGTGTGCACGTGCATATTATTCACACGGAAACAGCTGGACGGATCTGGATGAGTAACACGTAGCCATAGACTGTAAGGTACTTAGGAACGCACCCAAGCAAAGCGAGGGCAAATGGCTAGTTTATTATATTTATTAAACACGTTGTTGAATTTAAAATTATCTATTTTTTCACTTTTCCATATAATGTTTATTAATGTAAAAAAAAGGTTTAAAATTAATTTGTTTTTACTTTCTCCATATAATGTCTAGTAATGTTAAAAAATACCTAAAACCAATTGAAGTATTCTCACCTGTTTCTTAGGTATCAATACAATTTCAGTGGATATAGGCACATCTTCCCCTTTCACCTTCAAAATGCGCAAATACGATGTAACTTTAGACACTATGTCTTCAGGCAAGAATCCCACCAATCTACCATCGATGAACACTGGGTATTTGTACACGTCGTGAGACGGTGGGGTTTGGGAAATAAAGCTTATGGGTTCCATACCTGAAAATAAAAAATATATGAATGAATATAATAAAATTGTAACTAAGCTGAATCTGTAAATTAATTTTTTGTTTTGGAAAATCTTATTGAAATAGACATTATTATCGATACATAGGCCGAATCTATAGTTTTTAGAATTTTTGTCTGTCTGTCTGTGATTGCATCACGGAAAAACCACTGGAGGGATTTTGATGAAATTTGGTATGATGATAGCTGGTTATCCGGGTCAACATATAGGATACTTTTTATGCGGGAAAATATATCATGTCTGAGAAATTTATACTGAACGTTAAAACGTAATTCTAGGGACGAAACCGAGCAGAGCGAGGGTGAGTAAATAATAATAATCTCAAGGGCACCATATAGTACACATAGAGTACCGTAAGATATACACACATACTATCTCGGACTTTCTCTTGAAATGTATGATCATGAATGCGTGTAGAAAGAATCTCCTTTCGCTATCTGTCCTTGTCATAAAAAATGGCACAAGTACTAGGGCATCATAAACATCAAGAAATGTACATTGTACATGTTGAAGCTCATCTACGAAAAAGCTGCACAGAGGGCACACGAACTTCTTACAACATACATTATCGATCAAAAACAGACTAGATACACAATCAACGACAAAAATGTCCTCACCGAATGAACGCTCATTTGAACATTTGAGCGCGCTTTTAAATGTTTTTTTGTGAAAACAATAAGCGAGAGTGAGTTTCTAATAAATAATAAATAAATAAAACTTTATTAGCATAAGTTACTTTCTTTACAGTAAGAGCAAAATAAGCTAATTACAATCACAATGAAAGTGTCGTGACGGTAGAAATATTACACTTGTTTCCGTCTAGCTCTCATTCGCCAAGTGTGCCGAGTAACGTGCGATAAGGAACATAGAACAAATACCTAAAATTCAATACATACCACACTTTTCTAAGACGAATGGTAAAGACGCTAGTTGCTTCGGGTCTGGTGGCTGGGTCACCTATAACAATGGATAAGATCAAGCTTTTTTTCATCTAATCTACACATATAATAAAATAGTAACATTACGATCTGTACCTGAAATATTTTTAAAAAACATTGATTGTTACGTATTGTGTACAGAATAGAGACCACAAAACAATAGTTATATTTTTTTGTTCATTTGTCTGTATGTCTGTGTTGCAAGTCTTGTAAATCGCTAGTTCAAAAATAAAATTAGTACTAAAGTACTTTTTAGATAAACAAATTATATAATATAGCTTAGTTATATTCTCAAAGTTTTAATTATTTGTACAAAAATATTGTATTTTGTTTGATTAGATACAATTTAAAATATTACTTACAAGATAATAATTAATATTACGTTACTCACGTTTTACGTGATATATTTATAATGTAACTTGAAAAATCCTAACCCTAAAAATGTAAAGCATGACAGTTATTAGATATTCCCACAGTGTAAGTGTTATTTTAAAATTTTAAAGTGAAAAAATTAAGGTATTTATCCGTAAAGTGTAGAAATTGAAGAGTGTTTTTCCCCAAAGTGTAAGTGTCGGAAAGTGTTAACCCACAAAGAAAGTGTAAGTTTCGAAGTTCATTCACCCCTAAAGTCTTAGAATTATAATAGAACCCCATCGTATTAGAATCCGCTGTTTTCACCCCCAATTTTTTAATTTCGCGGGACACACCTGAGCGGAGGCGGTGAGATGGTTGAGCAGTCCGCAGGGCGCGCCGTCGGGCGTGTGCACCGGGCACACGAAGCCCCACGCGTCGGGCAGCAGCTGGCGGGCCTCCGTTGTTCGCATCTCCATGAAGAATGAGCCCCGGTGGATTGCCCTATATAACATTTACTATTATTGCTTTATTTTTATATTGCTGAAAATTGTAAAATATGGTTATTTTGTGTATATTTCATTTTAGGTTATTACGTATTTTTATTGAAATTTTTAATTCATCACAGATTTAATTTCTCAACAGTTTTGTTAATCTATACATATAATAAAATTCTAACTGAGCCGAATCTGTACATGAAATAATATTTGAAAAATCTTATTGAAATAAACATTATTATCTATACAGAGGCCGAATCTATAGTTTTTAGAGTTTTTGTCTGTCTGTCTGTCTGTCTGTCTGTCTGTTACCGCATCATAGAAAAACCACTGGAGGGATTTTGATGAAATTTGGTATAGTCATAGCGAGTTATCCGGGTCAACATATAGGATACTCTTTACCGCGGGAAAATGTCTCATTTTTGAGAAAAATTATTAAAACTGCAATGTAAGAGTCTAGTAATATGTAAAACCTAAGAATTTGGGTTTTGGTCATTTGAACGCTGGTGGAGCCGCGGGCAATGCTAGTTTGTATAATAAAATTTGATTTGGTATTATTTGAGTGAGCCAGCGGTTTAAATTAAGTTGGCTCTACTGGCAGCAGTTGTCTCTAGTGGCAGCCCTGTTGCTAGGTCCCCTCTAATTTGTATTTAGTCTTATTTAACGCAGTGTTATTACAGTAACGCGCTTGGGAAACCGAGTGAAGCGGGTTCGAATCCCGGGTCTCGCACTTCTGATATTTTCACACATGACATGTCTTTCGAAATCATTGTAATTTACACGCCTTATTTATTATATTGTACACACGCTAAAACCACGTCTGAAACCTTAGTCCATGGTCTCTCCCGTAATCATGATTGCTGTAAAGCATTCGAAATGTCGGGAACCAAAAATCAAAATAAATCCGCGAAAAATTCCGAAAAGATAGTTTTATTTAAAATGTCAAATATTCGCGTGAATCTAAGAAAATATTAACTTTATTTACTTGAAATGCGACATATATCGCATCCTATTGATGTTCTCCGCAACAATTGTGAGTCCTTTGTATTGTGCTAAGTTGACATTGTTCGAAGGTGCATTGCCGGTAGCGAGGAATGTTTCCATCTTCTGCTCTAAGGAACCCGCCATCCTAATTAATTGTTGGAGTTCTTTCTGTTACATTAAAACAAGATATGTATTAGCCCAATCCATACTAATATTATACATGCAAATGAAAACCCGTCTGTCTGTTAACTTTTCACACTCAATCTGCTACACCGATTTAGATGAAATTTGGTATGTAGATAGTTTGAAGAGAAGGACATAGGATAGTTTTAATCCCGGAAATCACACCTCAACCTTATTACATTGGTAATTAAAACAAACAAAAAAAAATCTTTAATTCGTTGGTGAAATAATATAGCCCATGTTAGACAAGTTGCCGCTCGTTTGAAGGACCCAAGGATATTATCATATAAAGAACCTAATTAGCCACTAGAAGGTGGGGATGCTATAACATGAAAGAACCCTGCTTAGAGAGACTCAGTTATAATTTATATTATTTATACATAAGAAAAGTGGGGTAAATGTTTGTATGGGGAATCAATAATTTCTGATAGGATGTAATTTTTTTTTCAATTTTTTAAAGTGCTAACTTTTCTATACCTATGTAATATATATATATATATATATATATATATATATATATATATATATATATATATATATATATATATATAGTCTATCTATTCCATACTAACTGTTAAAACGAAGGTGAGTCTCTAGTTATGTATATACTTAGATGTCTGTTAGTAAATAGTACAGATTTTTATTAATTATTATTATCAAACATCTTACAGAGTCAATTGAAAACTTCTTAGCAGTTTTGGCTCGTTTTAGTAAATTGGCTTTAAGAATATACAATAACATTTGTAAGCGTTCTTTTAGAACTTGTAGATAAAGATGTCCGCCCACTTGAAGCTCCTGGACCATCACAGCGTCAGCACCTTCTACCTATAAATAATAGAATATTATAAGTCAGACTTTTCATGTTTTCTAGATATTTAATGACTGGAGTATAAACATTCGTGCTCATCACACAAATGTATGCACCCAGTGGGACTCGAACCAGCGACCGCTGGCACAGCAAGTAGGGTCACTACAAACTGAGCCAAACATGTCATCATTTATTTCTCAAAAGAATATCACAATTTGACTACATATATGATAAATTACATTAACTAAAACTTAACACTTTATTGGGTATATCGAAAATACACAAGCAAGATAAGAAACAAGTAGAGAGTAAAAAAAATGTATACACACTTATAAGTTATTGAAATAATCAATGCTATTGCATTATTAAAAATAAAAACTTATGTTGCGATAACATATTCACTTATTCTTTTATATAGTGAAGCACAGATTTCATTTAAATTAGGGAGGCGCGAAAACAATTTTTTTTTCTTAGCTTGGGGGCAGAATTTGTAGCTAATAAAAAAAAATTAATAAAAAATTTTTTTTTACTCAACATTTTGAGTCGGCCCACTGATTTTTAAAATAAATAATTAATTTATTTTTTTTTAATTTAAAAAATTCTCGAAATTGTTTCACAAACTTTACTGCTTTAACTTCCCCTCCACGCTAAATTAAATATATACAAGTATAACATGTTAGGTTATAAATAAATGCTTTTTGTTGCTTTGAGCTTAAACTTTATGGAACAAAAATAAGTCCATTTGGAAATGATGATTTTGATTTAGTTCTTAAAGGAAAAAGAATGATACAATAATTTTCAGTTTTCACTAATATACTACCATGTAAGCAGAGCTAATACTACTTTCACTACAAAATTAACTCACCTTACATTTATTTTGTACTAAATCAAACAATTTCTGTGCCATATACACTAAAGCATGAAACTTGTCTGTATATCCATTTAGGTGGATCAAGACACATCTCTTTAGCAAGAAATCAGCTGCATCCTCATCAGATTTCCATGATGGCAGTTCTGAGAGACGAGGCCTGAACATCCTACCGAGATAAGATCTACACTCTTCAGATGTGTGAAGACCCTGTTCATGGAGTTCACGGAGCATGTTTTGTATACAACTGCAACATAATGGAAATATTTAAGAGATATGTATATGAACACCGAACAAATTTAATAAAAATCCATACCAATATTATAAATGTGAAAGTTTGTGAGGATGGATGGATGTTTGTACTCTTTCATACCAAAACTGCTGAACGGATGTGTATGAAATTTGGCACAAAGATTGATTGTCGTCTGGAGTAACACATAGGTTACTCTTTATCCCGGAAAATGTGCGGTTCCCGTGGGATAGGTTTGTTCTCGTTTTCCTAGAGGCGAACCAGAGCGAAGCGAGGGTGGGCCTCTAGTATAATACTAAGACTATTTATACACTAAAACTAGCAGTAACTGCGGCTTTGCCCGCGTTCAAACTTCTGATATAAATATCAGTTTAACAATAATGTATGTTAGTTTAACAATAATGGAAGTCTACCCGATTTGTTGACGTTTATGATACTGCTCCGCTCCCTTGAGCAGTAGCTTGATGATGTGTAAACTGTAGCCTTCCTTAACAAATGGGCAAAAAATCTAATGCAAAAAGAATTTTTCTAATCGGATTAGTAGTTCTTAAGATTAAAGCGTTCAAACAAACAAACTGTCTCTTTACAATATTAGCATAGATAATAGATATGTCAATGTAGCTAAAAAGCGTTATATATACTTCTTACTTGACATAGTATAAATCATTCTTTTTGCCATTTAATAACAATCTATATATGTAGTGGTCCGGACAGTCAATGAGACACTTCATTATCAATATCAGTGGAGCATAGTACATGACTTTGCGGTGGGAGAACATCAATTTACATGTACCATTTTGAAGAAAATGAAGCACATTGTTCTGAAATTAAATAAAAATAATAGTTATACTTCATTAAACAAAATAAACTACTTATTTTAATATTTATATAGCATTAATTCTTATTGACCGAGCAAGTGAAGCATCTCTGTTTCAAGTTTGACAAAATTTGCTTTCCTCTCTCAGTTTGTTGGTACTCCTTCGTCTACATGTCATATTTTACAACCAATCTGGACAAAACTTGGTATACAGGAAGTTCATAGGATTTTTTTATCATCAGAGATTTTTGATTGGAGACGTGCTTCCTCCAAAAAGAGGCAAAAGGGGGCTACTGGATATCTCCGTCTTATGAGATCTGATTTCGATAGTTCTTTTTTATAATTTATTGATGACAAAATGATTAATGGTGTTTGTTCATGTCTTAAGATAACTATCATACATATTAAATTACTAGAAAATATTTTCCAAAAAGTTTCAAGTGTATATATATTGTACATATAATAAAATTGTAAGTTGTAACTAAGCCGAATTTGTACATTAGATATTTTTTGGAAAATTCTTATTAAAATAAACATTTTTATTGATACAGAGGCAGAATCTATATTTTTTGAATTTTTGTCTGTTTTTCTGTTTCCGCATCACAGAAGAACCACTTATTTATTTATTATTATTATTATTTCTGAGAAAAAATACAAAAACTGCAATGTATGAGTATACTAATATTAGAAACAAATTAAAATAACACTCACAGTACTTGTTTGATCAGATTTTACACAGCGAACCATAATACCATAGTCAGAGAAGAGATTGCCTCTCATTTTCCATCCAGATCTCTTAATTGCAACAGGATAATTACGGCGTGTTACAAGCAGCATTCGGGCTAGACGTTCATGACCCTAAAAATATTAATTTTATTACTAAATCCTATCCAAATTTTATTTATTATTTAACTATATATTTGTATTCATTATTATTAGCATAGTATATAATCTCAAAAATTAAACTAACCTTAATTATGAAATAGCCTCCCCATTCATCTGCATGTTCATTTTGTTTTACAAGTTCTTCAGGTGATAGATCAGCTAAATGACACACCTTAGACTGAAAAAGTAATTTCTCATTAAATAATATTTTTAATAATATTAACAATTATGATAGTTTAAGTTTTTACCTTTAACATTATAGGCAGAGATCCTAGAGACCTATCCATAGTTGTTGTCTTTCCATCAATAACAAAACTTAGTCTAATCTTAAAGTCTCCCTTGTATGTTGCAGCTCGTTGCCTACATTCAGTAGGACTAACTTTCTGATTTTTGACTCCGACTGCTTCCATGGGTACACTTGGCTTGGCAAATGCTGCCTCATCTATCGTGATTTTTACCTTTTCGCCGCTAGGCATTTCAAATTCTGCGGGTATTAAGTCCGCTATAGCAGCTTTTAGGCCATCTTGGATCATGTAATTAAACGAGTCTATATGTGGTGTTCCTAGGCATTGTAAGTACTAAAACGGGAAATAAATACACAATGTAGTTAAAAATAAAATATTCACTTTGTAACATTCCTCTATAATGATAAAATTGTATTAAAAATAAATGTATTCTCAACTTACGGGGTTAGGAGTTTTGGGAGGTTTTCTATAATTTGGATTACTCGTATAAGCCAAGGATGGCTTTTGTAATATCTTTTTAGGATCCATTCTTTATATAAAAGGCGTTTCCATCTAGAAAAAATATCATTATATGTATTAAAGCAGGATAAAAACACGTGCGAGTCTGCAAGATGAACTGTCAATCATGGATGACAAATAAAATGTCAATGTTCCTGGTCTGTGGCCCGTGCTGTCAACTGTCAAGTGTCAATTGTCAAATTCAAAATTATGCCCTTATATTTTGACAATCCATAGCCAATAATAACCATGGATGACAAATAAAATAATAACCATTGATAAAGATAATAAGTAAAAATAATGTCACAGATGAAAATGAATAATAAAAGTGCTAATAAATGCGATATTTCGGTTCATATCCAAGCAAATAATGAATATAAAAATATCACACAAACAGTAAAAGAAAATATAAATAATATATAAAAATTACTATCATTATTTAAAATACAAGAGCAAATACGCGATATGTAAAAGGCACATTAAAATAACTATAGGCGTGGCGCTATAAATATTTCATATAATTAACTAGCAGCACCCGCGGCTTCGCTCGCGTTAAAACTTTCATACAAGTACAAATCTTATACAAACTTTCATCCTTCATTTTACCCCCTAGGATGAATTTCGAAAAATGCTAAAACACGTATTTATTTAATTTTATTGAAGAGTATTAATACCAAGTTTCTAGTAATTCTGATCGTGAATATTTTTTTGGGTTGCATTATAAGGTGTTTCCCTGTGGGAATTAAATAATCTCCCGCGGTAAAAATGCCTATGTCACTCTCCAGCCCTCCAACTACCTCAACAGAAAAAATCACGCCAATTCGTCACTCCGTTTCGACGTGAAAGAAGGACAAACAAACACACTTTCACATTTATAATATTAGTATGGATATCCTGCGACAATCGAGGTAGGTTCTATTTTACGCAGGAATGAATATATAATTCGGCGGTGGAAAGATCTCTATCTCTAGATGTAGGAAAGATTACTTGAGAAAATTCTAATAATTCAAACATATTTGTTCCACAGCAATCCTAATTTTGAAAATAAGACATTTCCAAAAAAAACTTAGTTTTTTTTTCTCAATATAAATTATTCCATTATTAAGTAAATGAAATTTTTTTTGTATAAATAACTGACGATCTCATTAAATAATAATCATGATTATTAACATTTAACGCAAATTACAATATTTCGATATTCAATAACTATCTTTTCTAAAAACTACTTGATACAGATCCCGTATCCTGTAGAAGGCTTATGATCAAAATCAAAAATATAATTAGGTATAGGTAGGTATCATTTTAAAATACCAAAACAAAAGTTACCTATATTTAAGTTTATCTTAATACCTTATATACCTGAACTTATATAGTCCATTCCAGTCCAGTAATGATATTTGCCTATAAATTTTCCTTTCCGACGGAGAAAAAGAAAACTAAATTTGCTGCGTCAGTTATTTTATTTACAAAAATGTACGACAAATTTAAGAAATCCTTATTCCTTAGAGATTCTGTGCTAGTTAATTAATTCATATTATAATCACAATATAACAATGAACCAATCTTAATACTTAATTCATAACGCATATTCGAATGATGAGATATTAAAATAATAGATACATATGTGTCAGTATCTAGCAATGCCTTAGAGTATTGCATAGCAAAATCAATCTTTTTCAACTCTATTTATATTAGGTACACCGTACATCCACATAGTACATACAATGCACTTGGGTACATAGAAGTACATCAACTATGATCGGACTATTACAATTAATAACATACTAGCGGCTCACTTCACTCAGGTTCGCCTCTAGAAAAACAAAAATAAATCTATGCCTCGGGAACCGTATATTTTTCCGGGATAAAAAGTAGCCTTTGTGTTATTCGAGACTATAAAATATCTCTGTGCCAAATTTCATCCAGATCCGATAAACCGTTCTGGCGTGAAAGAGTAACAAACATCTATACATACTCACAAACTATCTCATTTATTATATTTATTATACAGACTAAGTTGGTCGCCCAGTATGCCCAGTATGGAAGTGGTAGCCTAGTGGTAACGCGCTTGCTTGGGAACCGAGTGAAGCGGGTTCAAATCCCGGATCTCGCACCTCTGATATTTCATGGGCGAATCATTTCTAACATGATTACCACTTGCCTTACGGTGAAGGAAAACATCGTGAGTGTACAATAATACAACTTCTAGGGTAACAGCGTTTATTGAACTACACAGCTGACCATGAATACTTAACTAACCCCATTATATTATTATACACATATTACCTTCAATACTACAGTGAGGAAACCTGCATGTCTGAGAAAACATGCAAGTTTTCGAAAGACATGTGAAGTCCGCCAACCCGCACTTGGCTAGCGCGGTGGACTAACGGCCTGATCCCTCTCGCTAAGAAGGGAAGCCCATGCCCAGCAATGGGACGTTAAAGGGCTGAATACAAGCTGGTCGAAGATTGAGGTCCAAAAGTCTTCATTAATTACACCAGTTTCTGTCGACTTACGTACATGTTTATATTGATCGCAATTTCTTTTAAAGAAAAACTGCACTGAATTCAAAATCGCTATAAAAGCAAATATTGCGGCATATTTTTTTGTTGAAATTTATAGGGGAGGGATGATTCAGTAAAACGTGGTTAATAAAAAAAATAATGAAATATACCTACGCACATTTAAAAACATATGTTATACGACTCATACGTGAATTAAGTAGGTCTCTCTCTCGTCTCTGTTTTTGGAATCGGTCATTAAAGATAGTCTGCTGAACACCATGCAATCGTGCAATATTTGAAAATTGAAACCTCCATCGACCATGTATTGGTTCGACAAATTAACAAAGTAGTATGGAGGTAATCTGGCTACTATTATGATAGCGAAAATTGTATGTGTGTTTATATTTGTTACTTCTTTACGCCGAAAAGGGTGGTCAGATTTAGATGAAATTTAGTACACAGATATGTGAGCTGGAGTAACACAGGTTACCGTTAGGTACATAGGCATGCTCCCAAGTGAGGCAAGAGTAAGACACTTATCTATACTTAATATAATTAAACAAATACGTGTTTTAGCATTTTTCCACATTAATCCCTTATGGCGGTAAAATAAGATGTGAAAGAAAGTATGAAACCTACTTTATTTGGGTTTTTTGTAGTTTTAGCGCGAGCGAAGCCGCGGGTTCTGCTAGTAAATAAATAAAGTGCAAGCAATAGTGATTGCTTCTTTCTTGAAAAATAATTAAAAACATGCATTCTCAAAATATGCACCTGTGTGTGTTAGTCGACGTCTTCTCTAATGATAAATAGATTTTCATATTTTTTTAAATAATTGGTATGCATAATTATATTATTTTATCTTTAGGAAGTTTCAAAAAAAAGTTTTTAATAAACAGTATTGACACGAGTAAGTAGGTGCTACGTGATTTTCAAGAGCATGTGAAAATAATACTTTTACAATAGCATGAGGGCGACACGACCTAGATTCATTAACACCATTATACCTTCAGTGTTTCTCAAATTATTAGCAGAATAAGTATAAAAAAAGAATGTATATTTTATTTTAAGTATTTTTTAATTTTAATTTTTGTACAGACATTGTATTCGATAGAAATATTAAATAGTTTCTGATTATAAATAAATAATGCAAGAAAAATCATTTCTCCTTGAATTAATTAGATCTCTCGTGACTTTACTTATTTATATTTATCTGTAATTAAAAATGAAGGTTATTAAGTAAAGGTAATCACAAGAAAACAACAATTTTGCGGATTAGTCTTAAGAGTCGATCTTGGGTCATGGGTACCTTAAATGATTATGAAAATCATAAAACTATTCGCAAATCGACCCAACTTTCGAAATTAAGATATATTGACTAAAATGGTTGTTAATTGTTTAATTATTTTTTTTCGAAAATTGGTTACCAAATGGAAATATTACTATAAACTAGCGGCTCACCCTCGCTTCGCTCGGGTTCGCCTCTAGAAAAACACAACTAGATCTATCCCATGGGAACTCTTTAATTTTCCGGGATGAAAAGTATCTCCAATGTTGACCAGGGAAATAAAGTATAACAATTTCGGAGATTACTCCGTGGAAACAGTCAAACAGAGAGAGAGAGAGAGATACAAAAAAGTTGAAAAATCTGGATTTGTTCTATTTCTCTTCTTACATTCCCCTGACTCGGTTTTTATCATTTTTTTCTATGTACAGACATTAGACCTTTACAGTTTTCTTATATGTAGAACTACCTCGGTGGTGTAGCTGCTAGCATGTACGGCTGCACACTCGGAGTTCCTGGGTTCGAGTCCCGGGTCGGGCCAAGTTTAGTTATTGAGTCTTTCTGTAAGTAGTCTTTCTGTAGTCTCAGTAACAGCCCAGAGTTGGGAAGTTGGCGGTGTTTCACCCCCGTGCCTCGGAGAACACGTAAAGCCGTCGGTCCTGCGCCTTAACTCTCACCGGTCGTGTCGAGCAGTCGTTCCACCGGAGTATGAGAGTGACAGGAATAGAGAGTGCACTTGTGTCTGCGCGTACACTTGTGCACTATAATATCTCCTGCGCAGTTGGCTAGTCTAGATATTGCTTTTTTTTAAAATAACAACACTAATACAAAAAAATATATGAATCAATTGATATTTTTGGCAAAATTAAATTATAAAAAAACAAGGTGCGATTACATGTCATATTATATTGGATTCTGGCCTCCACAGCTAACCTCCACGCAAGATACCGTCTCGCTAACATAATTACTGTTCAAAGATATTCGCAAAAACAAAGATGGTCGCAAGCTCTCACCGAGATTTACTTGGTGAGTACCAAAACGAAAAAAGTTTTCGAATACGTCAAAGTTTACTATCGTTAACTTGTCAAAGTCTTAATTCGTACTGCCAAAATGCTATAATACGCTCGAAAACTTTCGTCGACTTCGTTAACTATGATTCGATTGAACTCGTACTGCCGATTTAGTTCCACCACGTTTTCGCTAGGGGCGCTGCACGTAAATGTATGGAAGAAAACGAAACT